AATTTTTTTCACAATTTGAAACGAATTAATAAGTAATATAATATTTGCAATTGAAATAATATATATATATATATATATATATATATATTATTAATTTAAATTAATTAAAATTAAAGTATAAATATCAAATAATGTATAAATTGAAAAGTAGAATACATTTTTTTAAGAATAATAAAATATTTTTCAATTAATAATTAAATAAAACCAGCTACTTTCAACAAAGTATACTTTTTACTTCATATTTATTAATAATGTCATTTGGAGATATCATATCAATGCATTAGAAAAATACGAAAAGAAATGAAAACTACAATTTCTCTATAGAATTTTAACATGACTTGGTGATGCTATAGTTACCCTTCAATATTAAAAAAATTTAAACAAAAGATATTATAAAAATGTCTAAAAATACAAACATTAATCAGTCTGTGATATAAACATATATATAATTTCGATTTATACACATTACTCAAATAAAACTACCCATCCCCTCAATAAAATTGCTTATAACATATAAATTTAAAAATAAATAAAAGTAATGACAAATTTTTATTACACTTGAAAAACATTGCATATTAAGCAGTGCTCTATATTGTCAGAATTTTTATATGTAAAATTAATTGTAAGAAATGTAAATAAAAATTTATTTACTTCAATTTAAAACGTAAATACAAAATGGAATATTTCATGAACTATTTATATAGTATATACTTTATATATACTATTTATATATACTAAAACAATTAAATAAAATTCAAATAATTATATAACATTTTATTTAGTTTATATTATTTTTGTACAATATGAACTATATTCAAATATTATAAATAGGTATTATTATGAAAAATAAATTGACAATAATATATCTAAATAAAAAATTTAGATAAATAAAATTAAAACTGTTAATTAATGAAACATTGAAGAAATAAAATTAATTCATTTGAAAATGTTAAATCTGACATGTTTTTAAACAAACAATTATAATATTTTGACATATATAAAAAAAAAATAAATGCACAAATTTCGGAATTAAAAAATCAGAAACTAAACAAATATATATATTGTTAATTTTTCTAAATAAATAAATGTGAATATAATTAATAAATATTAAAGAGATAACACACAAAAAAGAAGTTGAAATTGAATATAAAAATATTAATTATGCACAATGAAAGTCGTAATAATTTTATCAAAATTGAATCAATTGCTACAAAAAAAAAACGCTTATAACGAAGTTTAATAAACAAATAAAATCAAGAATTAACTATATGTATGCTAAATGAAAAATTATCATACTATATATATAAAATATAATAAATTCACTTTGGAATAATATATTCTTTACAATTTATTAATACTCTAATTTAATTCGAATATATAAAAGGTATAATTTTAATAAATACAGAAACATGAAAAAACTAAAATATATAGAAAATAACGACATAGTCTTTGTATATATAGGTATTAAATCTTCATAATATATTCAACGATTATAGAAAATCAGTAAACTTAAAATCACTATATTCATTAAGATGACTAGATAGTCATCTTTAGTTATGAATAAATAAAATCTTGTGTCAGAACAATGTATAATGAGGTCACGAAAACCTAATTCATGTAAGAAATCTAATTATTTTAATCATATCTACATCATAAAACGAATTGCATGAGAAAATATAAAGAACAATAATTTTCTATATCGTATTGCTCAAGAAATATAAATATTGTTTCAACTGAAATAGATGTCAATAAAGCAATACACCCACCAATACAACTTATTTATTATGGTTCGTAAAGAAACAAGGAATATAAAAGTAAAGAAAGAAAAAATGAAAAAATTTGACTCTTAACATTACTTTACTATACATTAGTTACAAATTTGTAATAATAAATTAAGATAAAACAAAAGTTTAAAGGTGCAAATATTATTAAAAATATATTTGTATAACATAAAATACGATAATTATTTTTTTTATTTCATCATTATTATTATTATTATTATTATTATTATTATTATTACAAATTGATTAGTTTTATAAATTAATTTTATGAGACATGAATTTTATTAAATGGAAATAGATCTTGGAATAAATTTTAATAAGTAATAAAAAATAAAATCTTTTGAAAATATTTGATTGGATCAATATAGAATAATTTAAATCATAATTAAAATTGAAATTACATCTTACCAAAGTTGCATTATTCAAATCATAGAAGTTATACTATAATCAATTTGCTAATAAAAAATCATTTTTAAGCTTAAAATTAATTAACTAATAGCAATACATTTCATTACACCCATAATCTTAACAATGTTATTTTTTTAAAATAATATAGTAAAATCGAAGTGATATAAATATTTTTTAACTTTAAAAACAGTATATATATATATATATCAAAATCTATTAAAGGCAGACACAACCGAACTTATTCATTTAACGTTCTTTTATTGATAATAAAAAAATCGAATATTTTTTACATTTTAAAGAAATATACTAGTAAAAAAATATCTAATGTTTTTGTTATTTTTGGCAATAATCTAATATTAAAAATATTATATCATATTATTTGATTTTGTATAAAAATATTATTAAATTAAAATATATAAGTATTATGCCTATAAACTCCCTTTATTAGTTTATTCCTATAAATATAACCAATACATACATAATCAATTTTTAAATTGTTTTTCAATTTACAAAATATACGCTATTTTCTAATCGTTAGTAAATAGTATTTTACGCATTACAATGTATTGAGTTAATTTTATTATAGATAGACAAAAGTAGATGTTAGTGGAAGCACAACCAAATTAATGGAACTTTGGAAGCAACGTAATTCGTTATCCTTATAATATATTGTCAATAGAAATTAAGTTCATATTTTGAAAATATTGATATAAGTCTTATACAAGAGCAAAAAAATAAGATAATAAACATATACCGTGAATATATAGGCTGGAATTATATTTTTTTATCCGTTATAGCTTAGCTGTGATATTCTTGTTATTAAAAAAAAAAGAGGTGGGGCAACAGTACGAATGAAAGAATACAAAACCCTGCCCAGTGGGCTGTAATTTGTCCAAAAAGATAAATTGGAGTTCAAGGCGACAAATAATCACAATTTATGTATACAAGCTGTCTCCTCCGCAAAATTAGCCGTTTTAAAAAGGCCATACGAATTATTATCTCTAATTTTAAGCGTTATGAGTGGCCAACAATTGAATCATCAATCATTAAATTTGGCCTATTTGAAGACGCAAAATTATTTTTATGATTGGATGTTCCGAAAAAATTTTGCACATTTCAATATATAATAAAATTATTATAAAGCAATATAGATTATAAATATAATAATGAGTTAGGGTATTTTTTAAGTATTTAAAAAGACCTTATATTTTGACAATAAAAAGTTGCTATATTTAATTTGGTTTATCTATATTAATTTTGTAACTATTGAATATATTTTTTATTGATTTGTTACATGATTATTTTATTATAAATTTAAACTTTTAAAAAATTTAAAATAATTAAATAGCTAAAATGACAAAATTTTCCACTTTTAATTTATACAACTTAATTCTGATTTAAACAGAAAAAATGAGAAAATTGAGAAAATTCTAATTTTATTAATTTCATAATTAATTTTATCTGCACGTTATTAATTTTAGTAATTGAATTTGTTATATTACAGATTTACAGACACTGTCCGAAAATTTACAGAATTAATAGGTCTATACTGAATAATCACAACTGCAAATAAAAGTAAAAGTATTTTCTTTGATACTCAGAATCATAATTTATAAACTTGATATTTCATGTCTAATGTGAATAATGTAAAATGATAATTTACTTAATTTTATAGTTGTGATACGAAATAATAATTTCTGTATCTCGATTATTAATTCTCATATTTATTATGAAACAAGGACTTAGATTTTTTATCATTGAAATAGTTTTTACATCCTTTTGGATTTACAAAGCCAAATTTTTATATCAATTAAAAGGTTATATTGCCGGTACTATTATAATATCATCGAAATATGCTCATAGAATGAGTAATATACTCATGAATCATTTTATTGCAATAAAAAGCCGATGATACCTTATAAATAATAACTACATGTTAATAAACGATAAATTATAATTGCATTATGTAAAATAGGAAAATTAGCTAACAAAAAATTTCCATTATCAAAAACTACAAATTTAATCTCGTAACGTTTTGTATTTAATAGTTATTTATAAAATGCAATTATTAGACCCATTAATTTATTAAAAATAATTAAATTAAATTAAATTTAAATACTACGAGTTATTTAAATAAATACATTATATAATATAGAAAAATGCTTTTCGGAATTATTTGAAATTTTTTAAATATTGTAAATAATTATTATATAAATTGCATTTAATTTATATCAGATTCGGAAATTTAATAAAGAAACTGATAATATCTATGATTATGTTATCACTTAAAAATAAGGTATAAATCATAATATTTTTCATTAATGGAAATAAATAATTTATACTTAAAATAATAAATAATATTTAAAAAAAATGTATTTTAGCAATAAAATAATTAATAAAGCTATTAATAAGTATTAAACTTAGAATTGTATTTAATATATGTATTAGATTTAATAACATTGATTTATAATTATATATAATCCTAATTATTTAATTAATTTATATACATAGAATAGTTTTGATTTTTTTTCAATAATACATGCAAATATACTAACTATTAAATAACATACAAAATACATTATAATAAGATTTTTTAAATTATCAAGACTTCAGTCAAGATATAAAAAATGGATATTTGCATGCTCTCTATTAAACAACATTTTAATTGATATTGAAAGTCAACGGAAAATAAATTAAAAGTGCCAAATAAATAAAACAATGTCTGCGGTGTTATGATTAAATGTCAGTCGTAAAATTAGAATGTAAATAAATTACTTGCACAGCACTTCGATTACTAGTAGATGGTTTAGTCGTATACAAAATGTGGCTGCTAATTCAACTACTTTTTGTTACTTTTTTATCTAGTGATACAATCGGACAAGTACTTAAAGATTATGATGGGTAAATTGTCGTTCAAATTCCCAACTATGATCTAAATCATAATTTATGAATTATTTGTTAAAACATTTTATTATTAATTTTAACATTGAAATTGTGACATATAATAACAAAATTTTAAGCGTTTAAATGAGTTAAAAATATACAATTAAAATGCCACATTAACTTCAATAATCATATATTAATAATTTCCTCAAATTTATTACATTATATATATGTTTTATATATATATTATATTATATATTATATTATATATTATATATTATATTCAATTGAATTTATTTTAATTTATTAGTATAATATAAATTTATATGACGTTTAAACACACTCAATAACAGTAATTAATAAAATAATAAAGTGCTGAGATTTTTATAAGTTGAATAATATACGTATATAGATTAAATATATACTTATTTAATTCCAAATTATTGTTCAAGAAGATAATATAAAAAGCACATTAGTAATTTGTACGCAGTTGTACATTTGTAAACATTTGTAAACAGTTAATAAAATGTATTTATTATTACTTTTACTAGTATATAAAACATTGTACGAATTGTTATATTTGTAAATTTGATTTTTAATATTTAACTGTTAAATTAAAAAGATTCAAAAAATTATCATAAATAAATAATAATATATTTTATCATTTATTTTACATATCATGAAATGATAATAAGAAATAAAATGTAAAATTAAATCATAATAATTACATAGCATGGTTCATAAAATGATTTATATAGTGTATAAATTTATAACAAAATTGTTTTTAAAATAACATTTCATATTTAAAAATGTATTTATATACACAGATAGATATAATATTTTACTAATTTACCAAACAGTTGCACAAATTAATCCCAGTTAGGATACAATTAATAATATATACAAAACTATTAAAATATGTAATAAAATGTTTTTGAAAAATATTTTCCATTAAAATTAACAAAATTTTCAAAGTTATATCATATATTATTAATAAAAAATTATTAAATATCATTTACAATTTTTACAAAGAAGTGAAATGAAAATAAAATCTATTACAAAATAAAACCATTAAAAAATTTTAAAAAATTGAACAATTTAAATTGTAATTAATTTTAAAATAAAATATATAAATTCCATATGGAATTGTATTAATAATAAGATTCAGAAATTAATTATTCTAATTTCACATGTTGTCAAAAATTTTCATAACCAATTTTTGAAACTATAACTTTATAGTATATTTATCAAGAACTCTATTAAAGTAGCTATCAATGAGATCGATAATAAACAATGACAAAAATATTTAATATCAACAATTCGGTCATTTATAATCCGAATAAAATTTTTAAAATCACATCTTTTTAATTTATAGAAAATAATATATCTGAAAATGGAAATAATCAAAAATTTAACCAAACAATAAATTAACAAATAATAGTTGATGCTATTCATAATATACAATTTGCATCAATATTCACAAAATATAAAATTTCCATAATTGTAAAGTTCTACTATTGATTAATACATACTAATAATAGTGGATTTTCCTCTATTAATTTAACAAAATAATTATTTGTCCCACTATTCAATAATTATATGAATATGCCCCGCGCCCCTCTTTAGCTATCTAATTGAAATCCACTCTGTCCAGACTCCTATATTTCAAAGTTTCCTCTGCATTCGCACGTATTCAAATACTTATCAAATTGTTTATAAATAAATTAAGTAATATCAATTAATACACATAAAGATAATATATAGTATACTATTAAAAAAAATAATAGAAGATAATTATACTTACGCAATGTATTGGAAAAGTTGATGATAAATATAAATTTTAAAGCTTGATCTTAAAATAGAAAATTATAAAAAATTAGGAAACAATTTAGTTTGTACAGCAGCACACACAACAACCATATTCATAAAGTATATATTTAAAATAAAGAATAAGAAGAATTAGACATTTATTTATTTATTTTGGTCAGTAGAATACTCTTAATCATAATCATACTTTCAAATTTTTAAACAAGTAGGTATACGTTTGAGATTAAATGAATGAGTTTATTGACAATGAAGAAATTGGATAGTATGTCAAGAGTATAATTTTAGTAAATTGAAAAAGTACATTACTAGTGCAAAAACAATTGTCAGGATAATGTAGAAATACTCGCTAATCAAATAATTGTAATTTTATTCATTAAAATATCATTTCAAATGTCTTAAAATGATTATTCGAGAATAAATTATCAGTGTGAAAAAACGTTAAATCTTAAAATATATGAAGCCTGCTTTCCCATTATATTTTATATTTGATGGATTTATATCTTAAATTTTTGAAATTCGTTATTATCTAACAAAATACTTTGTACTTTAGTAAGAAGTACTATTTAGAATGTGAAGATATAGACTGCTATGAAAAATCAAAAATAGTTCTAAATCACAGAAAAAATCCAAATCCAAAAGAAATGGACCATTACTGCTTTTAATATTGTTCTAAAGCAAACCAATTACTATTAACAAATAACAGCAAATATTTTGACAACCACAAGACATTTTATTAAAACTAAGGCAGTAATAAATTATAGTAAAAATACATTAGTAGCTTGAACCAATAAAATAATTAAAGCTACAATTAATTATCTGAACCGAAATCAAGCACACTACAGTAATTCTTATAAAAATAATCATTTATAATATATTTGAGTATTTCCATATTTAGAGAAATTTGAAGAAAAATAAGAAAAACATTGCTTCTTTTTAAGCCTGTATATGAATTAACTGTGGTCCATTTAGTTACAAAAATTTTCCATGGACATAACAATATATAAAATGTTACCTAAATCAGATTATTTTATAAGCTCATTTAAAATGTAATTTGAGCATAAAAAATAATTGGTTGATTGACAACAGCTGATATTTTATATACCAAGATGTACTGAATAACCATATGTAAGTTAAATATTTAATTTATTCATAAAAAGAACTTAAAAATTCAACAGCATTTTTCTTAAAACGGCATTACTAATGTCAAAAAAAAATTCAAAAAATCATTAATTAATTATTCGGAAAATTTATATAATAATTAATTTTTAATGTAAAAAAATCTGAATTTGATCAAGTTTTTTATGTTGATATACACTTTTTTTATTTTATGTGGCAAAACGGAGTGTTTTAAAAATTTTATTATTTGAATTATGACAATTACTATTTGGATCTGTATTAATTTTTTTAATAATCTATTACGTATGAAATCATTTTATATAGAAGGTAAAATTTGCTTTCATCTGTTTAGATTATCCGTCTTCAAATGATAAATTGCACGACCAAATGCCTTTTTTAGAGATTGGCTACATTATTATCGATACTTAAAATGTTAATAGTAATTATTATAATCTATACTAAATATTCAAATGTAATATAATATAGTAGATATTAATTTTTAAGAATATAAGAATATATATAAAATATATATAAAATATAAGAATAAATATAAAAAAAAAAATATATAAGAAAATAAGAACAAAATTAATAAAAAGTAGATATATTACATTCAAATGTAATATAATATAATAGATATAATATAAATAATAAAATTATATTTTAAAAGAAAATATAATTTTGTAACTCGTAAAACTAATTTTAAAAATTTGATTTTCCTAACTTCCTCGAATTCCTAAAAATAATTTCGAATGTTATATTACTTTACACATTTTTTATTTAATATATTACATAATATATTATATTTAATATTTAATATATCACCTATAATCATCAATATAAAATCAAAAATCTAAGTAAGGCATTTCCATAATAATTAATAAATATTATTTTATAAAATATCCCAATGAACCATCAGGCATTTTGTTTAAAATGTAAGAAATGTTAGTCAAATAAAAATTGATATTATTACCATGGTATCTGCATATTTAAAATATTGCTGTCAATTAATTATATTGTTATGCAGGATTTACATATAAATCGATTTATAAAAAAAAAAACTATAATACTATCTATTTTTTCACTTAGAAGTACATTTAAAATATCAAAATGTCTGTAGAAAACATGTTAAAGATATTTAGCACACTTTATTGGCAGATTAAAAGTTAGCATAGAAAAGTTTAGATGGTGGTAAAAAATAACGATATATTGCAAGTATTTTTGTACAAAAAGTAACTAGATAATATCTTAGACAGAAGTTATATAAAAATTTTGTCCCTGTAACGTATGTGATCCCTTAAATTGTAAAAACTTTCGTTTTAGAATCTAAAAAAGATATGTAAAGAACAATTGGATGTACCGAAATACAGCGTTTCTCCAGCGTTCTTCCTACCAATAATAGTTGTAGGCAAACAATATAAAAAAATAAAAGAACTATATAAAAACAATAAAAGATTAAAATTTTAAAAATTAGTTTAAACTACTTTGTTAACATTTTTTCATTTATCTAGAATTTTTATTAGATTATTAATTAATAATACACGTGATTAGAATCAACTTTTGTTGAGTACAATTATTATAAATTGTAAATTTGTGTTATAAATTATAAATAATATCAATAATATATACATACAGAATTTTTATATACAATCTTGAATTTCTTCAATTTAGGTGAATTAAAAATTGAATTTGATCGAGGCATCGTATTTATTATAATTGGTTTTATTGATAAAAGTTAAATTCTGTATTGAAAAAATAATATTATTGCTTTCACAATTTGAATCTATCGGAAAAGAATTAAATGAAATATTTAATTGTATAACAATTTTTTTTATTTATCTGTATAAATCGGTTCAACGTATTTTAATTGACAAAACATCTTACTTTTAGGTTTCAACAAAGCTTGTTATTAATTCTGTTATCGTTTGTATTTCTGTTACAGTTATCTTTATAGTAGAAAATTAATTTTACATTAACAGAATTGATAATTTAGTACTTCTTTTTGTCTTAAGTTTTTTATAATAATGTAATAATATACCAACCAAATAATATACGAAATGAAATAACTCTTTTATTTTTAAATACATTTGTTTTTATAAAATTCTAATAATTTAATTTTTAAATTTTATATAATTATTTTAATTATACTGTTATGCTAAAATACTTTTTCACTTTTATTCGATCTAAGCTTCACCTTTTGGCATCATGGAAAAATTAATAAAAGTCAGATATCGCACAAAGAATAATTTATTTTGTCACAATGACAATTACTTAATGTAACTACACAATCAATCAATCGATTTATGTATATGCAAAAAAAAAAAAAAACTAATATAATGGCGTACTTTTAGAGTGCAAAAATTTATAATATACATTATACTACATATAATTACCACGCTGTACTGCATAAATCCTGATTTTGGCACCATATAGCTAAATGGAGTCATCGAAATACAGGAGAAGAGATTTTTTGTAGAACTTTGCTCAACAATATATTTGCTGCTATCACTTACTTCTAAATTATTTTAAATAAATATTTGAAATTATTATAAAAACCATCCGTTATTATTATAAAAAAATATTTATAATTGTTTTTTTTTCTTCAGAATATTATATGTATATTAAGATATTTAATAAACATAAAAGAATTTGAAAATGGATTAATACCTTAATTTTTTTAAGAGTAAAATTGAAAATACCTTAATTTTTTATTCATAAATTTTTATTAGTATTCTCATTAAAAGAATCATTAGATCTTAAATACATTATGAACATAGTTTATTTTTTCATTTCAATTATATTATAAATTAAATTTTATTATTCTTTATTACTTAAATTTTTCATTAAATGTATTATTTATTACCTTTTCATTATTCCTTTTCAATTCATAAATATTTAACAATTAAAATATTATTGAAATATTAAAATAATCAAAAATTTAAGCAAGTATTAAGTTATAATAAATTATTATTTGTTTAAATGTTAGTTGTATACTTAGCATTACTTAAAAACTAGTAAGTTTTATTTAAAAATAATATAGGCTTATTATATCTAATAATATAAGCTCGTTTGAGTTTCTTTGAATAAAACTATTTTATAAAATATCATACATAGTTTTGAAGGTAATCAAAAAAATATAATATATTAAGTAAATACACTTTGTTTACTTTTTCTTTAAAAATTAAATGACGATTTTGTTAGATGGATACATAAGTTTGGAGATATGCAAACTAAGGGTGCAGAATGTTTGTTAATTGACCGATTTCAATAGTTTTCCATTTGACATACATATCACAAATAAATTTAAATAATACTATTAGTTAATATATGTTAATAATTAATTAACGAATGGTAATTGTGTTTGAAAGCTTGCATTCTATGAATAAGTAGAATTATGTAATCATAAATCAGGTAAGTTAAATGTAATTGTACTTCTATCTTCCATATGGAATATTTTTTTATAATACAAATGGTGTTTTTTTATTCATCTATAGTACATTTATCTATAGAGTCTATCTCCTCTCCTCCCCCAAATACATATATAAAATATGTATACGTAAGTGCATACATAAGACAATGCATTTACCAACATTAATGCAATACTTAATTGTATACAATATATTTAAGTATATATTGTCAATATTCTTTTATAGACAACAGTTATAATAAATTATAGGAGTATAAAAACTTTTTTACTTTTTTTTAGGTATAAATTGTATAAAGCAGATCTAAAGTCAAGCGATAAACGCGAAATTTTAAAAAAATTTGAAGGAGCCGAAGATTTTGCTGCTTTAATATCATCTGACCACAATGACTCGCATTTTTTGGTATCTCCTCGACTCCAGAAAGAATTTGGCAAGATATTGCTGAAAAATAAAATCAATTCTACAGTAAAATTTTTTAATCAAATCATTATTCAACTAGTTACTAATAAAACACATAAAATACAGAATTATATAATAATATTAAATTACCAACAAAAAAAAAGTTATATATGCATTATAAAATGTGATAATATACTACAATATTTTTATGAAAGTAATAATTGTTATTCATACACATTTCATAAGTTTAAATTTTAAAAGAATTAAACTATTATAATTTTTTTTTAATCGTAAGAAAAAAATCAATTTTTTTTTGTTTGTAATTCTATGCAATTAATAATTTTAAAAAGCATTACTTTCTGTATTAAATACGATCTTATTATACTGAACATTTACAAAGAATGAAATCACATACATTAATCAAATTCATGATATAGACTACAAAATATCTAGTATAAAAGAATTCTTTCATATAGAAAGAAATGTGTTTTTTATTTCAAGATTATCAATGAAAATGTTGGCGAATCAGTATTGCAAGAATATGAACAAAGAATGAAAGCTGTTACAAGATCATTTGAGCTTACTAAATACGATTTCGGTCATTTCCCCCGATATTATGAAATAATCGAATATATGAAGATTCTGGTACAGAACCGAAGATATAGTCAAATTATAGAAATTGGCACTAGTTCAAAAAACAAAGTAATTTATGCTATGAAAATAGAAAAATCTTCGAAAAATCCGGTAAGCTAATCCTATATATCTTATAAATTGTATTAAGATAATCTTATATATTAAACAAATTTAAATAATTATTATAGTAATTTTAATTACATTAGTTAAAGTAATTATGTTTTACTTATTATTTTAAGTAATATTAAAAACTAATCAAATATATAAATATTTTATAATTCAATTATTTATTTAAAAAATTTAATTTTAAAGTAATTATAAAATGATCTGAATTAAAATGTCTTAAATAATGTTAATAATTTTTTTTAATTAAGGAAATCAAAGAAAAATTTATTGATGTAGTTAGTTAAATTACATTACACACAGTAGTACACATAGAAAAATGAAAGTATTGAACAAAGACATAGGTATTATTATAAAATTAGTATTATTAAAAAAAAAACATAATAATAATGTTATAAAAATAAAAAGACGAAGGATAAATAGAGCCAAGAATCAGGAAAAAATATGTGGAAAATTATGAAAAAGAAAAATGTCAAAAGAAATTGAATAGGAAGGTTAACAGGGTACCATATAGAGATAAAAGATGTAAAGTTTGCTATAGCTATATATCAAAATAGTATCTCAGTAATAATAACACAGATGAATTGAAATAAAAAAGAAATTTTAACGATTTTAAGGTAAAGCGTATAGAGCGCAGATTAGATAGAAGAATATTATAATACAATAAGACTAATAACATAGTAAAGAAAAAAATTATTCAAAAAAAATTAAAAAAAATTTTCCAAAAGGATAATAAAATAAGTGAATCGAATGAAATGCGAAATATGAAACAAATATAAAAATTAGAATTGGAACAGAAGAAAGAAAGAACAAAAAAAGAAATTTTAAACATCTAAAAAAGAAATAAAACAAAAATAAAGAATAATATGGAAATTAACTATCTGAAATTAATTACAAAAAGAAGGAAAATGCAAATATGAATTTTTGTCGAATTTTTTCAAGCAAAACTATTTTATCCAATTTCTTTTACGAGCTCAAAGCACTTAATAGAAGAATAAAAAAATTATTAAATTTGTCTAAACATGTAGAAGAAATTGAAATAAACTAAAAATACATAACGAACTCAAAGATTGATGTTAAATCAATATAAAAAAATTAAAAGAAGTAGGAAAATAAAAAATGTAAATAAAATTAAACGATTAAAGAATAAAATTAAATGAAATATAAAAGAGTTAAAAACAAGAAAAAAGTATGATGAAAAATAAAGTGAATTGAAAAAAATCAAATACAAACTTTATTAAGTCGATCCAATTTTTACTTACTAAGAGAAGATATCATATTTAAGATATAGAAGTATTAATATAAATAATGTTATAAATTACTTGAAATTATTATTATATAATTAATTTTATTATTTGTATAAAAGAGTTTATTATATTTGTATTTGAAATTAAAATTCATTTTATTTATTTAAAGATTAAGAATGGATAAATATAAACATTTATACGATTTACCTTCATTTAATATGCTTTCTTAATTTTTATAATAATCAGGTTAGAATTTAAGCATTAATTAATGAATTATAAAAAATAAAATTTCTTATGAAAATAGGTATTTATACTTGATGCTGGATTTCATGCACGAGAATGGGCTGCTCACGTTGCTGCTTTATATATTATAAAAAAATTAGTACATTATGAAGAAAAATACGCTGATATGATGACCTTTATCATTATTCCCTGTGTTAATCCTGATGGTTACGAATATTCACATACGACTGATCGATTCTGGCGAAAAACAAGATCTGATAATAAACGCTCATCATGCAAAGGCGTAGATCTCAATAGAAATTTTGATACACATTGGAAAGGTAATGGATACATTTTAAAAACTAAAATTTATAGATGATTGACTAGGGTAAATAAAATAATGATATAATATATATTTAAATTATTATACATAAGGCAGCTGACAATTATAAAATAAAATTTCCAAAATTTTTATACTATCTTAATACAGTGTATTTAAATTTAATATTTAATATTTATTGTATAAATATTTATGAATACAAGTATAACATTATTAATAAAACTCTAGTGGGAGATAAATTTATAAAATCAAAATAAAATTTCAACTTTTTTATAGTATTGGGTATAAGGCGTATTTATACAGAGACGGTACAGTTTTAAATGTTAAAATATCACAAATGAATGGTTTACAATAAAATAAAATAGATAAACATACTATTTACGACAAAAAAATATATAAAAATTTATTTTTTTGCATAAACTTTTAAGTTTAAATTCAATTACAATACTTTATATTTAAAATTCTTTTATATTATCAACGAAAACATATTCAACTAAACCAACTTAGAAATCAAAACAAGGTAATGGTATAGAGTATCTTTGCTTTTAAGGAATTAAATAGATATAATTCACTTTAATAAACTGATTACCAATATTTTTAATCAACTAAATTTAAACTATTTATTCTATGAAATAAATAGCTACAATGTAATAGATAAAGCTATAAATAATAATGTTTGGAAATTGTAGAAGGTTTTATAATATAATCGAAATACTATTATCAAATAGAAGTAAATTAAGAAGAAGTAATACAAAAGATTTAAAAATGACAACAAAAGTAATCATAAATTTAATAGATATGATAAAGTCAAATATTACTATAAATACAATATTTAAATATACAATATAAATAAACTAAATGAATAATTTATGTTTCTCTCTCTCTCTCTCCGTCACACACGCGCGCGCGCGCACACACAATTTATAGAAAATAATTAATAATTACTTTTTAATCCATAAACACCTCTAAATACTTCTAAACTGAAAAGTACACGTAAATATTGAAAGAATCGTAAATATTTTAAGTCTATCAATTATTATTTATATTTAATGCTACAATATTAAATATTTCATAGTTAAATTCTGTACAATTTTATAACTTATTTTATTTATTTCATTTAGATGATTTTTATTTTATCACTGTTTATTTGTAATTTATTTTATTTATAAAAATAATACTAAACATATGTTTAAAATATATAATAAATATAAAATAAATCACAATCCAAATGTTTTAAAAATTTTTAATTTTCTCTAAAGTTTGTCAATATAACTAAGAGTATATTGATTTTTGTAAAAAAAAATGTATTACTTCGGATGTTAATTTTTTCCAACTAGAATATTAATTACAATAAATAAAAATGTTTCTTTTAAGAAATTTCAAATGAGAACAGAGAATGTGCTGAGACTTACCCAGGACCCAAGCCATTCAGCGAGCCAGAAAGTATTGCACTTCGTGACACAATTTTAATGTATCAACCGTATGCGTATATAACACTTCACAGCTTTGGTTCGGTAAGTTCTTACAAATTGATATATAATTAAATATTCAACTTAATAATAAATTAGGCCAACTATTGATATACATAAAAAATCATAATAATTAATTTCAAGTCTTATTCTATCATTATTTATGAAAGTAATTTCATAATTTTACAAATGTATTTTGTAATGATGTAATTTTTTATAGATATAAAAACTTGTAATTATAAATTTAAAACACTTTCATGGTATAATTGTTTTCAATTATTAGTGGAGCAATTCTTATAATGTTATAAAATAATACTTTCATTTACATTCGCGCACGCACTTCGAACACATAGATACTACGTTTAGTATAAGTATATTATTTATTATTAAATGTAAAATATAACAGAATTTTGCAATACATACTAATACAAACTTTATTTCATAAGCTTATAATGTATCCTTGGGGCTTTACAAAAGATCTTCCTAAGAACTGGCAAGTCTTAGTATGTAGCTTATTTTTATATACAATCAAATACACTTTATTAACATTTTTTTACTAAAATAAATAATGTTTTAAGCATCAAATAGCTCTAAAAGCTGCTCAAAGTGCTAACAACGGAACCAATTATACCGTGGGTAGTTCTGCAAGAGTTTTATGTAAGTTAATAATATTTTTATTTCTAAAAATTAATATAATTAAATATTAAAGTATATAAACTTCAGAATAAATATTTTATTACGTTATTTTTATAATTATTAAATATATACACAGATGAGATACGCTACATATTATTATATAATTTTAATCGGAAAAATCGTCAACTGTATAGTGTAGTATTTAAAATTAAGTAAGCAACTATCAATGTATTGGTTTGTTTGACGTGTTTTCTCATTTCTTACTTTTTTCATTATGTGTTATTTTTAGAACAAAGTTATGTTATTTGTATGTAAGACATTAAAAAACAAAAACTTACCCAGTACAATATGTCATTATTCCTTAAAGAATATGTAATCGTGATAGAGTTCATTTACTAAGTTCTTCAACCTTCCAAAAATATTGCTATCGTTATCTTACTTTAGAGGTAGGCACAGAGTTATAACAGATTATATTTAGATGATGACTAATACACTACCTGCCGTTAATATAATATCGCATGCAATAGGCACTATACAATACAACCTATCATACTATTAGATATCACATACAATAATACCACATTTATTATTCTATTAAACAACTCAAATAATCATATAATTTTATCTATTAGGAGAATAATAATGATAAATTAATTGAATGAGTCTTCGTTATAAGACTTGTTTTAATATATAGGGCAGTGATAAAAAAATATAATAATAAAAAGACCCAATTCTTATTTACAATTATATTTCGGCTGCAAGAGGCCATCTGTATTCTTTAATAAATGACTAATTTAGTAGAACTAAATAATTATTAATATATTGTAAATGAAAATGTCAACTGATTTTGACGGCAAAAGAAATAATATGCACCTACAATACAACACAATATGAATTCACGTGTAATTAATAAACTTATCGAAACACCCATTTTTAAGTGCAAGATACTGAAACATAACTTTCACCATCTTCATAAAGATATGAATATTACGCAGTAGATTCGCAAATAATTTTATTTACTTATGTTTTCATTAACATTAATACCGTTACAGTAATACTATTACGTCAAATATATATTTTCTGGTATCTAAAACTAAAAACATTAATAGAAAAACTAATAATGATCAATAAATATACTAACATAACTTATCATAAGCAGTTATGATATCTTATCATAACATAACTTATCACTTCATCGTACTGTATGATTATACTTAAATAATTTGTACATTATAAAAGATAACCAAAAATTTATAAAAAAAAAATCATTTTTTAAATTACAAACTGGTTAATATGAACATGAGATTCAAATAATAAATTAGACGCTGTATAACTATAATAGATAACAATTCGATCACCAATTACAGAATTACTGAAAATCTGAAAATATCAATATGGTAAATAAAATATGATTATCAAGAGAACTAACTAGTCTGCGAGTTAACTGAATTAATAGTCTGAAAATAAATCACAGAATAAATTAACAAATCAAGTTAGCTAAGAACTATAATTAATTGCAATAAACAAGAATAATATTCTAAATCAATCATATTGTGTCGTAACATTTTCCTCTTTATACCATTCTACTTGTTTATTTATATTATTCTGTACTTGTATCTTTACTGACACTTTTATATCAATATGGAAAATTAAATTTTCAAACATACGAAAACCAATTAGATTAAAAAACAAAATTAATAATTAATATAAGAATATAATACATAATATAAGAAACACGATATATTACAGTCTTACTCTTTTAGAATTGTAACATTTTTTAAAATCAAAATTATTACGGCTGTTTTATTATAAATACAACGATATGTAGTTCATATGTTATTAAAATACGGCATTTTTAATATAATCAATGAAAATGCTTTACTCTCAACTATGAATACGCATGACAGAAGGTAAGATAACACCAATCAAAAAATAACTACTGATAATAATACATACTTGTGATCCGCATCTTTTTACGCATTGAAAAAAAAACTATACGAATTTTACGCACGATTTAAAAAATGAATAAAAACTTGATCGTTATATACACATTGATAAACTGTATTATAATTCTCTTCATAACATACATTTTATAGAAGTATTAAGCTTTTTTTAAAATTATTAATTAACGACTATACATTACGATTCTTTTATCCCAAATGAACTTGATTTAAAAAAGATGTTAAACAATAAAAACACGAAAAAATATATATAAAAACATAAAAATATACTGTCTCATAAATTAATAAAAACAATACGATTTGTAGTATGTAACAATACAATGTCTAGTTTTTTTGTTTAATTTTTCTTCGAACATAGTTCGTTAATTATATTTCTACTGTTCCAAAAAGATAGAATTATTGCATATTTTCAATAGTTTTAATTGATTTTCATACGTATGTATTTGATTACAGTTGCATAAAAATATAATTTCAGGTTTTTACATTCAATTTTTCTCCAAAACTACTTTTTGAAATAAAATATTTACTTGGCATTATCCGTAATCAAATTATTGTTCTTTATGTTCATTTTATTTTTATCTTGTAATTTTAAATATCTAATTATAATTAAAGATATATGAAATTTATTTTCAACTATAATATAAAATGATTATTTAATTTAAATATAAGATAAAATATTTCAAACCATTTTTATTCTATAATTTAATTTGTCATCTTATAGGTATCATATCAAATTAATTATTTAAAAATGTATCATTTAGATTATTATTTAAAATTACTTATTTTAAACACATATTACATATTATATTACTAAATTAAAGACACAAATATATTTCCATGCCGTTTAAAATATAAAACTGGAAAGACATTTTTTTTATTCAAATTACCTACATTTACTATAAGAAGCGTCAAAATAAACTTATTTTAAGTTAAAATTATCATTAATTTATATATTAATATTATATTCATTATTTTTTTAATTAATTTGAAAATCTATGATATTTTGTATTAATACATTTTATTCTTGTAATACTAGATATAGCTTTTGGAGGAAGTGATGATTGGGCAATGGAAAAAGCAGGTGTGCCAATAGTATACACTGTAGAACTACCAGAATTTAATGGAAAATTATTCGTTATGCCACAGGAAGAGATCAGACCGATGGTTCGCGAAACTTATAAAATACTTAAACATATGATATTTAATATTTACGATGAATATATGCAATAATAAATATCAATTACAAATCAATTTGCTTTTTAAAGTTTTTATTTTATTTCAATCTATTTTCATATGAAAAATGTTGACATCATATCAATAATCATCAAAACAAAACAAAGATAACATAATTAGATACAATTTATGTCTACATGTATTTTTAATATGCAAATTATTTCATTAAAAAAATACTTTTATTTAGTAGAGCTAATTACTGATCCATCAATGATTAAATAGAAAATAAAAGAAGGTTGTATTTTTTTGTTATATATATATATATATATATATATATATATATATATATATATATATATACATACATCTTTATAAACTTCAATGAAATAGTGTAAAATTCAGGTCTCCATTGCCTCCATTGTGATATCTATTGACGGTTCTAAGGTCATTGGTACATCTATATTATGACACTTCTTTATAGAATAAAGTTTTTGTAGCTTTTCATAATGTTTGATGTCCTAGAAATAAACCAGATAACTTATTTTGATTAATTTATAATAAACGAAGTCTTTATTAATGAACTGTGCTCACTAGCACTTCTTCATTTTTCTAAACATAATAATTAATAATTAAATAAGAGTTTCAGCTTTAATATTGAATATAAAATTTGATAATATATTCAATTAAATAAAAATGTCGATAAATTCAATTAATTCAAAAAAATATCATGAAATAAAAATAAAAAATATAATTTTTAAGTGGAAAAGAATCCTGAAGTAATTACAAAAAAAAATTATTTTAACATTTATAAGTTATGTAAACAAAATATTTTACCTTTTCTTGCACGGAAGGTCGGATTTTATCGAATGCTGCATTCAAATGTCGTGTGCAAATTTCTGCAGAATCGGAAATACCACTCATAATCTCTCGCAAAGCCTCGACACCAGCTTCTCTTATTAAAGCGGCGAGATCGGCTCCAGTGTAGCCATCACATCTGTCACTACCACCTATAGCCTGAAGATTCACATCTTCCGCTAACTTTGGCTTGGTACCGTTCTAAGTATTTTAAAAAAATGTAATAATAACGTTAATTTATTATTTTACGCTTTTTCTACTTTGATATTAGTATATTTATGTTTACGTTTCGAAATAGAAGCATAAAATTATTTTTAATATTTGCAATTTAATTATTGAATACTGAATAATCAACTTAAATAAAAATATAAATATATATAAACAATATTAAAATATATATTTCTATATTGCACATTTTTCAAATGAATTCAAGTATACTTTTAAAATCTTTTTAATAATATTTAAAAACTTAAAATTATACATAATAAGAATTTATATAATTTATTTTAACTTATTAAAATTTATAATTGAATTATATTATTAACATTTATTAACATTTGCAAAATAATCTTAAAATTGCTTTTTTAAAAATTAAAGCATTCAAAACATTTTTAATTATTTACTACTTCTTCGTAAAAATATAATATTAATGGAAATATCTAAAAGACATAAATAAAATACTTTTTCATACAATATAAATTAAATCTGCATTACGTATACTAATCCTAAATTATTACGTTTAATTCAGTAATATACAGCTAAATTATCTTTTTTATATATATATATATATATATATATATATATATATATATATATATATATATATATATATTAAATATTCTTATATACTCGGTATATATATATTTATTTTCTAGTATTTATACTTTTATATTTATTTATAAATTTACCTTTGTAAGTGCTTGTAAGATATCCACTCTATCAGATGTATTTGGCAAGCCTACGTACAAAATTTTATCTAGTCTACCCGGCCTCAATACTGCTGGGTCAATAATATCAGGACGATTACTTGCTGCCATTAGAAAAACTTCTTTCCTACTCTCAACTCCATCCATCTCGGTAAGCATTTGATTAACAACGCGTGACGTTGCCGTGCTATCGCCTTCAGAACGTTTTGGACAAAGTGAATCTAGCTCATCGAAAAAGATGACACAAGGAGCTGAATTTCGAGCCCGCATAAAGCACATTCGCACAGCTTTTTCACTTTCACCAACATACTATAAACAATGTTTACAATATATTTTTAATTGTATTAAATTCTTAACTATTAATATATTGAAAATGAACTTTTCTATTTATTTAATTAATCATTAATTAAGAAAAGTATTTATACAAGTACAAGGAACTAATTTTGAAAGAAAAACATAATTGCATTATAAATTTAAATAAAATTACATGATTCTGTGTACAAAGTTTTCTTTAAAAATATTTAAATATACATAATAAGCATATTATTTTATTATTTATTATATTAGATTTATCATATTAGAATAAATGGAAATGCATAAATTTAATTTCCAAATTTATTTATTTAAATTTATAAACTACTATTAATTTGATTTGATATATTGAAAAATATATGTATATATATAAATATCAATGTAATTATTAATGTATATTAATTTAGTGTTTTTAAATTCATTTAACATATTTTAAAAAATGATTGTTTAAACGATTAAGAAATTTAATAAATTTACCATGTTTAGTAATTCTGGCCCTTTCACAGAGATAAAATTAATACCAGCTTCATTAGCAATTGCTTTAGCCAATAAAGTTTTTCCACAACCCGGTGGTCCACATAATAATACACCAGTTGGAGTAGTTAATCCAAGTTTAACAAAATGCTCAGAATGTCTAATAGGTGCCTGAAAATTATTTTAATATATAGAAGTATATAAATTGTAAAATATAATAATTAAATTTCTTACTCATTACGTTTTTTGAAAATATAATTCTTTTTAAGTATGTAATCATTTATATTTTGCAAATTTTATGTTTATTATTTTCATTTTTATATTTTTCAAGTGACCATTTGTAAATATATTCATTAGCTGATAAAATTGTTTTGTTAATTTTAATTAACATATAATTAAAATGTTTTTCATTCTACAGCAAAAATTATCCTTTCATTTTAGTATTTTATTTGTTTTGTAAATAAATACGTTTTACTTATTATTCTTTAGTAATTTTTACTATATTAATATAGTACATTCTTTATTTATTTATGAACATACTTCGTTTTTTTTTTTAGGAAAAGTTCTTAAAGAGAATTTTCTTTTTAAAATTCTGTTTTTAAAAAATAAAAAAAGGATTTATTAAAAAATATTAAAATTAAATGAAAAATATTTATACATAAATATTGCAATTTCCTTTGCAAGTATTTTTATTCAATACTATATGTACTTTAGGCAAATGAAATCAATTTTTTATTTGCCATAATATGTTTCAAAATCATCTACTAAATTATTGGAAAAGATTGTATTTAAATTTTAAAAACTTCAAAATTTTGAGAAATTTTATGATATATAGAAAAAAATTTCGTCAGAATAACATAATATTTTTTACCAATTTTATTTATATATGTTCTTAAATATACCCGAAATTTCCAAATATTTTAATGTTTTAAATAAAATTTCAAAATACCTTTATAGAATTCTACACTATTTAAATGATTCATAAAGGAAAAAAGATAAACTATACAACATTTATAAGTAGTATAATACATAAGTGAAAAAAATAGATCTAAACAGAAATAAAATTGCGTAATAAAATACAATCTTCGTTTAAGTCAATTTTTTAAAAATCTTTTTTGTTCAAAGTACCAAAATAGACATTTGCAATTCTTGTCGAATATCTTGCAGTGACCCGATATCATCCCACGTTACGTCTGGTACAGTAGCAAAACCCTCTCTTTTAGCTGATGGTTGAACATTTTTAAGGGCTATCTCGAAATCCCTCTCTTCAATACATAGTTTTGCCAACTGCTCAGAAGTTAAAGGTGGTTCATTGTGCAGCCAAGTTAACATATTTGATAGTTTTTTACTACTTTGTATTTTTTGCACATCAATAACAGTAGGTTCTAATTCCTGACTATTCGTTGAAAGAATGATTTGATCAGACGAAGGAACATCATTGATTGAACACAATGGCTTATCAGTTGTATTAGCTTCAATTACTATATCAAGTTGCTCTTCTTTTAATGATGCTAATGGAACTTGTGTTTGTGTTGAAGAAGGTGGCACAGATAAATCTGATAGCTCGAGTCTTTCAGACTGATTTTCAGATATTTTTTGTTCATTGTGCTTATTTTGTTGATCATCCTTACTTACATTTGATGCATCTGTACATGCAAATTTATTAATTATATATGTTATACATTATTGAAAAAGTGAATTTAGAAAATATCGACAAAGTTTCAAACATGAAACATATATTTTCACTTTCTATCTTTTAACCATTAAGAAATACAATATGAAATGAATACAATATGAAAATAACTAATCAGTTTAATAAATTTTATATAATTTACCTTTCATAATTATACAATAGAACAAAATGTTTAAATTTATAAAAAACTAAAACATGAATATATGAGTCATTTTTAATTTATGTTTGTTTTATTTTATAATTCCAAAATAAAATTGAAGTTATTTTGCAATACAATTTAAAAAAACATAGAGTGTATTAAAATTCGATATCATTAAATTAAAAGAATCATATCCCATATAATTAATTATGCAAAATAACTGAATTATAATTAATATATAAATCAAATTATTAAAGTTTCAAATTATATATTAAAAAATAAAATTTACAAAACATTATATATTATATTTATAAAAGTAGTATAATTTTATTTAAGTAAAATGCATAATAAAAAATATTTTTATGAAAAACTAAATCACATTTTATTACAATTCATTTTGTACCATTATGTATATATAAAAAAATATATATGCTTATTAATAATTTGGAAATAAATGAAAGATTGAAATAATAATGTCTATATACATAGTTTTTTAATATATTACTATTTTCGATTATGAATTTAAATGAATATTTAAAACAAAGTTTACAGAAAGCTTTGTTGTACAAAATATTTACAAAATAAAAAATTAATTAGAATTCTCTTACCTTCTGTTTTACTTTCTACTGTTGATTTGTTAGGTTTGATAGATGATTTTTCAATAATTAGATCTGTAATTTCTGTCACAGGAACTGGTAATTTTTCTTTGACATCTTCAGTACTAGTTTCGTTTAAAAGTGATTCTTTTTCAATACTATCAAGAGTAACATTCTTTTTTAAACTTTCAAATGTTCTAAAATTAAAGAAAAAAAAATCTTATCTAATGTATATATTAATTTCCTTAATATATCGATATTAATGAAAAAAAGATTTAAGAATTTGAAAATATATTTAAAAGAAAAAAACAATTTACGGTGCATTACCTATTCACAGCTGCAATTGCAGCTTCTCTAATAAGAGCAACCAAATCAGCCCCAACAAAACCAGGAGTGAGTGAAGCAATGTTTAACAAATTAATTTCAGGAGATAAAATGACATTTATTGTATGAATTTTTAGTATGGCTGCTCTTGCTTCTTTATCCGGAATTCCCAAGGAAATTTCCCGATCAAAACGACCAGCTCTACGTAAAGCAGGATCCAAAGAATCAGGCCTATTTGTTGCACCTAATACTAAAATCTTATTTCCGTTGCTCTTCATTCCTAATTCTAAATATAAATATAAAAAAATTAAAATATAAATTTTAAATTTAATTATTTATTGTCACGTTTATAATAATAAAAATAAAATAATATAATAATAAACATAAGATGTTACGATAAAGTTTAATCTAAAGAATATTGATTTTTATTTGATTTTCGATTCAATTATATAATTAATATTTGAAAAGAAAATTAATTAATCAAGTGGATATAAACAATGTTTAAATGTAAATTAACAAAAAACAAACTTTAATAAAATATCATTAATATTTTGATTTGTAATGAATTTCAATATTTAAAAAATTCTGTATATTAATTTATATAAAATAAATTCTACAAATACACTGATTTTGATTTTTAATGATTTACTTTCAACATAATAACATTAATTACTAAGATTTGAAAAAAGATTTTTCCATTAAGTTAATTATATTTCATTTAATGTAATATTATTTTATTTCAAGATTTATAAAATCCATACTAAATCATGTATTAGAAATAATATATTAGAGCATCACCATCTAAACATAAAAGCAATTGTGACACTATTCTTCTTTCCATTTCTTTTTGAGCAGTTGCTCTTTGTGGAGCCACAGCATCAATTTCATCAAGAAATAGAATACAAGGTGCTATAGTAATAGCTTGTTCAAATAACTCTCTTATTCTCTGCTCACTTTCTCCAGAAATACCTGCAATAAGCTCAGGAGCTGCTACTTTCAATAGTGGCATTTTTAATTCCTTACAAAACAAAAGAAAACAATGAAATTAATTTTATGATAAATGAATTATAATGAAAGTCCTTGATTTTATAAAAAAAAATATGTATATATATAATACTTTAGTAATCCTATTATTATATTTATACTTTTTTAATAATATAAATAGATTGAACTTTCTAAATTTAATTTTTAAAGTATGTTATTTTATATTCCATTTTCAAATTAATTTAAATTAGAATTGTTTTCAAAATTCTTTATCTGAAAATATATAGAAATTTCATTATAATTTTAAAGAAACAGAGTGATGCGTTGTAAATATTAAGAAATTAAGAAAAATAGATATATTTGATAATAATAATGTGTACTCCTGCAATTGCATGAGCGAGTAGTGTTTTTCCACATCCAGGTGGACCATGGAGAAGAAATCCTCTAGGTGGTGATATTCCAAGCTTCGTATATATCTCTGGATGCTTCATATGAAGTAACAAATTAGCAACAGTCTCCAAAACTATAGTATTGCCTCCAATATCAGAAAATTTCACTGTTGGATTAATAACCGGTAAATCTCTTGATTTTTTTTTTATTACATCGAAAAAATTATCATTTTCCACTTCGCGAGGTCTTTTCCTTGATTTTTCTGTACGACTGTTTTTCGAAGGTAAATCCATTGTTATGCCTTGAGTCTGAAATAATAGTGTCTCATTAAAAATTATAACTATTTATAAGTTAATATAATAGATATATTTAAAATAAATACAATTATTAACTCTATTTTCCAAATTAATGAAAAATTTGTACAATTAATAAGAAAATTAAAACGTATAACTGTATTATAATATACAAATATTTGGAAATTATACCTCGTGGATGACTACCTTGGAAGACTCAATACTACTAGAACCTAAATGTGGCTTTTTGTTCACATGTGTAGTATCCATATCCATATTCTCCTTTTCAGGTTTATTGGATGCTGTAGAAGTCTTAGTTTGTTCATCATCGCTACTTATGTCAATCAGTTCCTTGTCACTCGAATTACCATTTTGTCTTCCTGAATTTTGCCGTTTATAAGTTTGTAGATACTCGGTGGGTAGTGCATCGACCTGTGAATCAGACTAAAATGAAATAACATTAAGCAGATATTAATTTTTATCTATTACTTTGATTATTTGAGTCCTATTCGTTCAGACCAATATATCTATATTAACTTTACAAAAAAAAAAAATTTTTACTTAAACAATATTAAAAACTTAACGTAATAAAATAATAAAACATTTATTTCATAATTTTTATTTAATAATTTGAGTATTTCTCACAATTAGTTAAAAAATATTAATACGATAAAGTTGGAATTTCCATTATAAAGGTACATACAGTAACCGGGATCTACAATTTAGAAATTAATTAGGTTCTTTAAACAATGGCAATCATTCAAAAAATATTTATCATATTACTTTCCAACATAAAATAATTTTTTATGAGTACACTAATAAAAATAGTACTTATTTTGTCTTAAATTTTATTAAGATACCATTATTAATAATTATTTTATATTTATAAATTATTATATTTATTATTTTGTAATTAACTTTTATATTTATAAATTAACTAATATAATAAAATAACACTTCACTTTCCAATCACATTAATAGATAATTTTATTCATTATTCATCATATAATTGTTTTAATTCGTAATTGAATTTTAACTCGTTAAAGAATTTAATTTAGTATTTTCAATCACAAAAAAATTATTTATAATATACATTATAAATACTTAAAGAAATATTTTTCTTTACTTAACTACATTAACAAACAAGAGAAAAATTAATGTTACCTATATATATATAAAGGCCGTATAATTAAACTTTGTATTAATAAATTTTGAAACTGAAAAAAGACCATTAACATAATTAAAATTTTACGATACACCAAAATTATCATATACATATTTCAATTTATTATGAATGATTATATATTTATTCGAAATGTCTTACCCGCTATCTAAAAATATATGAAAGTGAGTATATTTAAAAAAATAATGTTTTAATAAATTCTTCTTGCAGAATTATAATTTAAAAAAAAAACAGCTAAAAATACATTATATATAATATTTAAAATAGTAAGAGTAAAATATATTTAAAATTAATAAAAATTAACTAGAAATTTTGTTTATATGATATATATATATATATATATACATTTAAAATGAAATAGAAAGTTTTCGATACAAGCAAAATTTTTATTTAATTTTTATTACTTTTAAATGTATTTTACTCTTTTATTTACTGTACATATATGTGAATGTAAAGGAAATACATCAATAACTATTTCATGTGATCTCATAACCAGCTCATAACTTTACTTTCAAATAATAATATTAATATTTAATTTTATATATTTGTATTATTATGATTATTATAAGTAATGCTCACGTGTCTAAAAATTCAAATTTTTCACATATTTTATAAGATACATTTATTGTGTTACCGTCGTTAAATAATTAAAAATATTATTAATATTATATATGAAAGATATATTTTAAGAAATTTGAAAATATAAAGGAAATATTTGTTGCAGTATGATTTTAAATTAAAATATAAACATTAAAATAATGATCGTGTAATTTATGTACCTTTTATTAATACAAAATATATTAATCTCTTGCTAATTTTTTATCTAATTTACTTAGTATTTATCATTTAATAGTTTTAAAAATTTCCAAGTGATCCGAACCAGTATTAAGAATTTTAGATATCTACTATTACTCCAATATAACTCTATTTTATATTCCAAATAATTTATGGTAAATCAATACAAATATATAATTTAACATAGTACAGCCGAATGGTGATTTTGCTAAATCAGAATATAATACATGAGAAAACTAAAAGTAAAAGCGCACTATCGAAAGTTTTTGTAATTATATTTTGTAATAGTATTTAAAAATATTTAAAAGTAGATATTAAAAATATTCTTTATTGATTAATAAGACTTTCAAGGCTGATTTAAGATAATTATTTCTGAAACAAATTGTTTCCTTATATTAATACTTAATTTGTCAATAAATGTTAGTTTTCTTATTTTTCTTTTCCCATTTTTTTTATTTTATAAATATATAATTAAAATTAGCATAATCTACTTAATAATAAACTTAAATTTTATTTCTATTCTAAAATAAATAAATACCATATTATGAATAAAATATTCTTCATTTGATGTTTAGAAAAAAATGATAAGATTATTTAAGTGGTATTCATTATTTTGAATTATACTATTTGGAAAATAAGACCAATCTAAAATTTACAAAAATCAATTGCTCAGGCTTTAAATCTACCTATAGAACATATAGAAAAATTATTTTAATAATGTGCTTTGTATTGCATTGTGATACTTTGTTATGTGTTCTAAGAATTATCAAAATATTAATAGTATATTTCATAAAATATAAGTTTCTTAAGTGTATAGATGCATTACATTGAATAAATTTGAGGCGATTTAAGTTAAATATCATGTAAAATGTTATTATTTAGCGAAATTCGTAAGTTCTTTTTTTGTACAATTTGATCATTTTTTTTTTTTGGTTACAAACGTGGCTTCATATTTCCAAACACATTTTTTTTTTCATTGACCTTATAAAATTGTTCCATGTGATTTAGGATCTAATTGTACATACTATTCTCATCTAGATTTTAACATTTCTTATTTTTAATTGTATGACTTATAAACGTGTCGAGCCATTGCCCCTTTTCGAAATAGCTGAGTGCTGATATACTGCTCAATTAAAAATGAATTATACATTAATGATCATAGTGAAGACAAAACATTCGCTTCCTAATTTTCGAGAAAAAAAATGTATTCTGCTTTTTACTGTTACTTTCAATTGTAACTAATAATAAATTTCTTAATTACTTTAAAATATTCATATTTATGGATAACAATTATTTGATCAGTATGGGTAAATATAGATAAAAATATCCTTTAATATTTATGTCAAAACTAATTTTTTTTTTATATTTAAAAATTGATTTATAACGCCAATCAATGTAAAATTTATGCAGATTTATTTTAAACAGATTGATTTTAGAAACTTTTGAAGAATTGAATAAACGAGTGAAATTATTAAAATTGTCTCAAAAAGCAAAGGCTACCTCAATGTCTATTTCATCTTCATCATCCCAGTGGGTATCAGCCTGTCTAGTAAGATTCTCTGTTATATCGTCGTATGCCCGGCGTACCATCGCCCTGAATGGGCCACGTTTCTTGCCCCGATAGTCACGATACTTCCTTTGAAGGTAGTCTGCCATCTCCGTAACATCAATGTATACCTTGTCTTCATTCTCATATAAATACTACAATATAAAAAAATTATGCTGTTGATTTTTCTCTTTATAAATTTAATTATGATATTGTAATTAAGAATACTATAGTTCTTGTATACATTAATAATATAGATATATTTACATCTGTCTGTCTGTCTGTCTGTCTGTCTGTCTGTCTGTCTGTCTAGCTGTCTGTCTCTCTCTCTCTCTCTCTCTCTCTCTCTCTCTCTCTCTCTCTCTCTCTCTGTATGTTGGTGGGTGTGAGTGCGTGTATACGCGCGTAGGTAAATTTTATACATTATATTTTTATTAAATTTTATTCAAAGACGATTATATTAATTTCATTTGCAATTTTTTGTATATTATAGATGCACTTACGTACGCGATGAAACCTTTCCCACGTATTTTTTATTTCGAATAACTTTTAAACATCAAACGTATATTTAATAAAAATAAAAATATTATATTTCATTCCTAAATAGAAAGTTCACATCCTTATAATTCAATGATTGAATCTATTATTCTAATGTTAACAATACACGACTTAATAATAATTTATAGTATTTATAAATAGTATTTATAGTAATGATACAATATATGAAATTAGCCGTATATTAATAAACACGCACAATCAAAGAAATATTTTGTATTTTAAGAAATTATTTACCTTTTTGTTCCAAGTAGAAACCATACCTCCACAAGCTTTCATAATTTTGAAAATAAAAAATATATTTTTATTCTAACGAATAATTTATAATAATTTTATAATTGATTTTCTAATTGGTGCAATAGGTATTAAATTGGTTTCGTATTAATTTTTAAAGGGTATTTTAATCATTTGATTAAATAAAGATTTGCCATACCGTATAAGTATGTATTAACTAAGTAACGGTGCCGAAATTAATATTTAATATTTTAAATGAATATTATGTGAATTTTAATTTTATTTTGGAACTAAAATTTGCGATAATATTACTTTTTAAAATAAAATTTTGAAAACAAGCTAAGTGTTTAATGGTAAATTTTTTTAGATCATTTTTACAATTTTAAGTAATTTTAATGTCATGTAAGTTATTGTATGTATGTTCTTTGGAGCACTGATCATGCTTTCAAACATTAACATAAAAAATTAAATAACTTATTGAACATTATTGAAATTACATCGATACCGATGTGTAAATTTCATTACGGCTACAATTTGAAATAAAATTTAATGTGTTTAACATCAAACGTATAAGTTCCCATAGTTGCTTTTTTATAATTCAAATATATCACAAAAAATTCAAAATTTAAAAATAAAATATTTTTAATGGTATGAAGCGCAGTAGTAATATCTTGAAATAATGCATTTGAAAAATATTATGAATGGGACTATCCTAATATATTATCTTCATTAGTTAGACTGATCTTGAATTTTATCTTAAATAGTAAAATCAATGTCGTCTTCGCTAGTTGAATCATGCAATTTTGTCTTCTCTTGTAAGACCATCCTCGGATTTTACCTTTATTCACTGAATCATTCTTCAGTCTTGTCTGTACGGCCTGTATTGTTGTGTCGTCTCCTCATAATTGACTTAATTATACTATAATTATTTCAGCATTCTCCGATCTTCTTTTCATCGTGTATTCATTAGATGGATCATTTCATTCCCCGCCAATCTAATATGTAACGGTATACCGTTTAGTTCATTTGTAAAAGTTTCGTTTCCCCCTACCTTTGGATATATTATTCTATTTATTTTATCATTTAATTTATAATTTAATTTGTACATATTAACACAATGAGTATATTCTACTTAATTATTTATATTAAACATTTGTTTTACTATCGATTGAACATTGTTCACAAAGAGATCCTTTTTAACTACTATTTTACCTTAAAATTTACTTCAAAATATCAATTATTTATTACAAATGAACGTTCAATCATTTAAAATAATTATTTGTTCATTCATTTTTATAAAATAATTAATTCCTCATCTATCAATCATTTAAACATCTACAATTTAACTTAACTTTATACTAGTATATAAATTGTCTTCAATTTCCAATATATATATATATATATATGTATATGTATATATATATATATTCGAATTATTATTTTTTCTTTTATTGTATAATTATTTCGTTTGCTTGGAAAACTTAATCTTTCTTAAATAAATTCTTGTAAATATTCAATGATTAGCCATTTACTTAGATATAAAAATAATGTTAGTAAGCACAATGCAATAAATTATTATACTGTTTACTGTAATCCGGAAGAGAATAACACACTTACGCATGCTATCCTATAAATCAATGACAAATTGTCCGTCAAAAAACGTAAATAAAAATTTTTAATCTATAAAAGTATATTGATAAACACTTATAAATATTTACGAAATCAACCTTAATTTTATATGTTTACTGTGTATGCAAACACATGTGTGCACATACGTACGTGGGCATTATCACGTTCAAACCAAAGTACTTATCAGTTTAGCAACGAATAAGTAGACTAAGTAATTAAAACTTAAAAATCATTTTTCAATACATTGAAATAGAAAACAATTTACAAAAAATCATAAATTTCAATCTATATTTCTATAATTTTTAAATTTTTTCAATGAAATATTTTACAATATTAATATTCGAAAATTGGTTTGTAATAATAAAATTAAAAATGAAAAGCAATTTTTCATTTTTATTAAAATAAGAAATACAAAATAATTTTCTTTTAATGTAAACATAAAAAGAGAAAGTACAGAAGACTTCAAATAATTATTAGCCATAATCATAAACAATGTATGACATACATATATTTATTCATTGTAAATCAATAGTTTCCTTATATAACAATTTTATTGAGAACTTTTCAGCTTTAAACGTTTAATTACATTAATAATTATAAATGATTATATAAGTACATATTAATTTAATATATCTGGATATTTCAAATATTTTTGAAAATAAATTCATGTTATACGAAATCCTATAAAATAAATATATTATATTTTTAATAATAATAATCAACCTAATAAATTTGGTTTAGCTTTCTGCAATATTGTTTATTAAAAAATTGATAACTTACAGTACATTAAAACAAAAGTTCTCCTTTTCAATTATTACTTGTTATTCAATAACCATAGAAGGTATTTTCATTACCTTCACTTAAAATAATAACTATTTTAAAATAATAATTGATTGCTCAATATTTTGTATTGGAACGCCCTCGTAAAATTAAATATTTTCAATTGAATGAATTATTAAATTTTTATAATAAGAAAAAGGTAAAAATGATATAGAAAAATTAGAGTAAATATATCAAAATTATAAGACATATTAAACTATGCATATATATATCGATATATAGAGAGAATCACTTCAAATGCACGCAAATACTTTATAATAATTGTTTTCTTAGATTTGTTCATGTTTAAACTATTTATAATAAAGAATATTAATTAACAAAATTGTTATAACAAAAAATTAACATATTGAGAATTGTAAATTTCTAGATAACTTCGAATAAAACGTGAAATCCAGTTACAATACATCATGAAAAAGAAAATATAATTTATATTGCAAAAATTTTATTTTATTAAATTATAATTGTAACATTTTTTATAAAAAAAAAATTATTCAATACGCATAATAAACAGTTTCTGAAAATTTATTATGTGATAGTGCTGTAGATTTATATTTAAGTAACTTAGTTCTTTTTCAGATCTATTTCATAAGTATAATTGGTTCTAATATATATAAAATAAAAATTAAATTAAATTATTAAAATTTAATAAAAACTATATTTTTATATATTATATATTTTATATATTATACCAATATTGATACAATTACAGTGCCTTTTATTTCATTTGATTAAAATAAATAATTGATTATTTCTTTATTGATATTTCTTATGCAATTTGAATTCAATTCTAAATTATAATGAAAACTTAAAACTATTCTTTCTTTTATATTTAAAACATAAATATTTATCAATTTTGCTAATAAAAGTATACAAAGTTACATACAAATTATATAAATAGAAAAAAAGTAATAGACAATTTCTAGTAATCATCATAAAATAAAACACGTATTTGTTTATATTTACATTATATGTTTATATAAACAATGAAAATGTAATTAAATATATTGATATATTAAAACTTCATAATCAACCAATAATATATCTAATAATTTTTAGAAAACAATACTAAATTAATATAAGTAAAGAAAAATTAATTTATCTTTATATGATCGATATAATGATTGTTTTGAGAAACATATACAAACATATATAACTCATTCTCGCGCATACACACACGCACAGAGGGATACACACGCGATGTAGGTAAATAGATGTGTGCATGTCACGTTACAATTTCTTAATGATTTTATTTTAAAAGTTTAATAAAGTGTTCAAATAAAATGAATCTAAAGCTTTCAAAGGCAATTTTATATATTTATAGTTTTTGAATACCTTGTATAATATAACTCAATTATTCATGTAATTTATAAGTATTTAATATTTTTATGTTATTATATCTATAAAATAATATTTTAATTTAAATGGTTCAAATCAAATAATTATAAATATATGAACAATATCTTGTAGATATACTCTTTCATTTTTGCATAGATTAATAAAGAAATACTAATTTTTTTTTATGTAATTTTGAATAATTACAATTGAGAATTCTAAATTGTATTGCATTAAATATATTGAAATTCGACACTAAATTTTTTTTTATAAGTTTTTAAAATTAAATAGATAAAATATTTAATAACAGGATTTTAGATAATGAGAAAATATATTAGTACTATTAATTTTAGAAAATTAATAACTGCTAAGTAAAATGTTCTGATACTTCATATTATATTTGAATATGTGAATGTTTAAACAATTTTAAGTTTTAATGAAATTCTTATATAAAAATTTAATGATTAAAATGATTAAATAAGTAGAATTTGTAAACGCTATTTCATAATTTGCTATTGTTATTGTTTAAATTTTTAATGCAACAAAGAAATTACAAAAAAAGTAT